CCCACGTACAGTAGTTCCTCTGTCCTCATGGGCAAGTGTCGGATAGATGAGGGCTCAGCGAAACACTGGGGTGCCACAAAGCTCAGTGCTTGGTCCTCTTCTCTTCTCCATCATTAAGGCATATGGCTTCTCAAACTACTGACGAAACTGTCGACACTGTCTCAGCTCTTATCACTGCCTTTCGGACATCTTGGCCATCTTCAGCTCAATCATTCGTAGACCCTAACCCCAACTCATCAGTCGAACAGAATGGCTGTAAACTTGAGTTCGATCAGAAACCAGGACAGCGTTGAGTTGGTGGGCAGTTGTTTCTCAAGAACAGCCTGGTTCTCAGGGTGTAAAATAGCTCCTCTTCCAAGCTTTGCATAGCAAGTTAAATCATCAAATAATGTGACTAAATTAAGCCTTCTACTAATTATTTCAGTTTTAATTATGGGTTTTCACTACTTCCTGAGACCAATATATATGTTGTTCTTGTGTTTACATCCCACAACGCTTGCTTTAGGTGCTTTTATTTAAACACCAGCCCGAAAAACTGTTCAGCATAACCGCATGCTGCCATTCGTTATGTTGAATTTATTCTCAGCGTTATAAGCAATCTGTACTCTCTGATGTCACTGAGTCACTCTATACACCATAAGGTGATCTTCATTCGGATTGATCAGCCTGATTTCACCAGTTCCAACCTGGAGGAAGCAAAAGAAAGCATTCCTGCGAAACGCATGAGCTCAGAGGAGTCTGCTGCAAACACACACACACACACGGGTGGAGTCACTAATGGATGAGCGCCTTGTTAGAGACAGAGCTTTTGACGTAGCAAATCCTGAAAGGTCCCCAGGCAAATGTACATACAGCCCTTTTGTTTGCCTAGCTGTGTGTATATGTGTGTGTGTGTGTGTGGGTGTGTCTGCTTGTATGTTTGACAGGACTGACGGGATAATGATAAGGGGGTCTAGTCCCATGAGTGTGTGTGAGGTTGATCTGGAGGTGTTGGGCCTCTTAATGAAGGACACTGACAGTCACACAATTATTCGACACAATGCTGTGGACTCTCCGGATTAGCCGAGGTCATCCTGATCCCTCAAATCCCCCGCAGACGGGCGGCATCATGTGTGGCGAAGGCAAGTGTCAAAGCGCAGACCCCGAGAGAAGCAGCGCTCACCTCATTATGACAGCACATAACAGTGATGGAATCTACTTTCACAGAATCTTGCTTTCAATCGCCGGGTTTCTTTTCATCCTAAAAATAGCACACATGACTCAAAAGCCCTTGGCTTCGTGTGAGGAACGGGCCTAAATGAGATGTTTTCCATGGCAAATCTTCAGTTCTCAGATGTAATTCTGCGTGTTCAGACTCGCCGTGTGAAGAGGCATCGCTTCCCCTGTTCTCTGAACAGTCAGTCGTGCTGTTTAACCATTTGCAGAAAGAATAGCTGCCGGCCTGGCTTTATCAGTGGATGTGACCTTTTGATCAGGTCTACAGATTAACCCTGGACTGACAGACCCCCACAGCCCAATAAAAGCCCAGGACCCTTCACTGCTCCAGATCCGGCGGCAGGGTAAAGGTCCACACACTGGCCGGATGATATACGCATCACGCCACCATTCTGCGAGCCGAAAATCTGTCATTGCGAACCTGTTTTTTATGGCTTGCTTTTCAAACAAAATTCAGTTCCAATGGAATTATATTAGTGTTTAACACGACACACGAGCAAAACAGTGTGATTTCTGTGATCTCGAATGCACTACAGCACAAAGCTTTGTAGAGAAACACAAGCTTACAACGAAAAAACAAGAATCAATGGGGTCCAAAGACATGGGAAAAGGAAAAACTGTGAAAATTAGAAAAATATTTCAAGCTCCTGGATCAAAATGGAAAATTCACATTTTTTATGGAATTTTGCAGTGTTTATTAAATGATTTATCGGAGCACATCATTGCTGTTTTAACAATGTTGAATCAGAATGAATTGTTGCAGCATCTGTCCTCCTCTGATGACGAAGGAGGGGCTTTAATCTGTCACTCACATGAGATCAGCCAATAGCAAACCACTACCATCCAACCATCCAATCAATTCCCCACAAACACAACCAAGCCCCGCCCACATGTGTTCTTGCTCCGGAAGCGTTTCACTTGCAAACACGGCACAATAGAGAAGAAAATTGGGTAACACTTTACAATACGGGTGCACTAATATGCATTAATTCATGCTTAACTAATACACAGATAATCATGAGTTAATGTATAACTCATGAAGAACTAAACCATTAATTAATGATTACTGCATCAGCAACTAATAAAGAGTCTATATGATTAATAGATTAAGTAATACACTAATTTCTATTAATACAATGTGCCATTGTGTATTAATTCCTTAATAACATATTTTATTAACTAATACTGTAAATTAATGTGGTAATTACCACAATTAGTCAAAGCTATGCACTTCAACTTCTAGTTGTCTGCTTTAATTAATCATTAGCTAACGATTTGCAAAGGTATCATTATGTTATGACTTTACTTGTTGGGGCACATCATTATTAACTAGTCATTTAGTAATTGTAGTAATTCACACATGAACAATGAAGTAATTAATCATGTATTAATGCATATTAGTGTACCTGTCATATTATCTGGAAGTTGAAATACAAGGCTTTGGCTCATTCTGGTAATTAGTTAAAAAAATAGTTATTATGGAATTAATCCACAATTACATATTTAATTAATAACAATTAATGTATGAACTAATACATTAACCTGACATATGCTTAATTAGTTCCTAATTTGGTAATCATTAATGAATAGCTTAAATAATCATTAGTAACACATTAATTCAGTATTATCTGTGCATTAGTTAAGCATGAATTAATGCTCATTAGTGCACCCGCATTGTAAAGTGTTACCGAAAATTGCTAGCCCTGGTGAAAATGGCATTGTGTAAAACCAACTTTAAAAACTAATTTTAGCTGGAAACTAACTTTATTTTAGAGCTGCCATTAGGCCAAAACAATCTCGGTTACTTAAATTTCCTATTATCACTGTAAAGCTGCTGAAAGAATCTACGGTGTTAAAAGCGCTATATAAACGAAGATGACTTGACTAAAACCAAAATAACATAGTTCTTGTAGTTATTCTATGTTAACCACAAACTAACCATGGTTTTGCTTCAGAAACCATAGTTTAACCATGTTTTTTTGTGGTTATAGAAATGCCAGACAATATGCCAAAAAGCATCAAACAAACACGTGGATAATTTTCTTAACGGAGTGGCCGCTTGTATGGAAAAGGTAAGTAATTTGGTGGTGTGTCTCATCACATTGTCCCAGTGTCCATGCGTACCAAGTTGTGTGATGTTCGGACACTGCACTCACAACATACAAGGCAAAAAGTTAAATATCCAGAAAATATATATATATTGGCTCATACCACATAAACCAAAACTCTTTTGACAACTTCTCTACACAAACATGGTTTCCAGCACACACAGAATGGAAGATTAATTAGTTGCAGTTAAAAAAAGGCACATTGTGTTACCTCTGGCATATACTCAGAGAAAAGAGGTCAGATTGTGGCCTGAAATAAAAGCAAAAGCGGCCAATTATTGCAATTTGGACAGTAGCGCAACACAACCCTGTATGGCTTCACATATATTGGAGGAGGGTCAGGATCACAGCCGTGTGGAGGCCATGTGTGTACGGGATCCCACAGGAGCCGAAAGCCCGAGCTCCCGCCGGCTTAGAGAGAACCACAGGATCAAATCTGCGGGACACATTTGGACTCGGCGCACAGAGCGAAGGTGTGAGGAGAGATGTGTGTCTCCTGGGCTTCAGCTGAACAGAACCAGCGCTAATAGGGATCTGCGTTATTATTCAACCCCAGGAACCAGACCATCGGGGTCACCAGGATAAGCATATTCTCTGTCGGTTCACCAGTGCCGTTCTGTTATAACAACTGCTGTTGGACACCCAAACCCACGGGAAGTTATAAACATGACCATTCCCCCCAAACAATTCTTCAGTGGCCAAAGTTTTGCCGAAAGGAGATCGAGTTATTAGGCATCCTACCTAAGTTTCACGAGTACGAAACCTTGTACAAGTAAATATGGACAGAAGTGCATCACAACACATGAGGATTTCTGCTGTTTGTATTCGATTACTCACTAAGTCACATTTGAGCAGCTCTAAGTATATTGGGTCGACATTCTTCACGAGTACGAGTGATTCACCACTGAGACGGTGTGCATCAAAATGTCAGATATATTACGCTCCTTTCATGTGCGCTAGCATGATCTTTCAGGACTGGATATTTTCCCTCCCTGATCCCGCAGTTGTTTGTTTTAATTTCACGTAGCGCTCTTCCCCCGCCGGGCTTACTTTGTACATGCGGGGAATAAAGCATCATCTGCCGAGCTCTGGGAAAGAGCAGAGCTACAGATGCTTTGAGTTTACTGAGATTCCCAGCGAGCAGTAGAGGAGCGAGCTGCCCGTATTTCCTGAGGATTAGTGCTCAGATGTGCCCTTCGAGGAGGTCTGCGGATCCGCTGGGAAACTGACCCGGCACTGACTGCCAATAACTCTGGGATAAGAGCTCGCCGGAGAGCCAGAGCCCTGCTGGACACCACGGCGGATGAGAACGGGCAGAGCAGAACAAGGTTCTGGAATTGTTTGCATCTGTAAAGGGTTCGCATGTACAACACCAAGCATGAAATAAACAAACCTTCTGTGTTATGAATGTTAGATGCTGTGAATATAACACTGGAGAAGGGCTCCCTCTGCTGGCAACAGCCGCACATTACACACACAGCGCAGTCATTCATCAATGCTCACCAAAGCTTGAGCTGGATCTTTAGAGGTCTTCAACGTTGTCTTTAGACGAGGACGGGTATTGTTCACAATACATGTATAACTTTAATGAAAGGTTTTGATCCACTTCAAATGTTGACTACTGTAATTCAATTATTCAGTTTTTAATTTCATATATAATTCTCAGTTCAAATATAGTTCATTTTTTCAAGTATTTAATATACACTTGCATATTAATGCATATTAACATGTGGGATATGATACAACAAGAGGCAGAATGGTGCAAACCCTCTGTTCAAGATTAAGAATAAATCAAAGACTTCCAAACACCAGGAATGCAGCAAGCGTAGCGGTTATGATTGAGTACCACAACATGTTTTATCACCACCGCCCTAATTAATGATCTCGCGACAGCATTTTTAATCAACACAATCAACAGTCTAGTTTGGCCATCTCATGCACATAGATGCCGATGCTCTCGCTGTCGAACAGCACGAAGAACACAGTCTTGATGGAGGAGGACATGGTTGTGACGAAGTAGCTGGAGATGGCCTTCAGGATGAGCTGAGCCGCCGTCTGCTTCGGGAACCCGTTCCTGCACACACAAACCAGTGACGTGAACCAGTGACGTGAAGCACGGTGTGTGTAAGATTATGTGGGTTAGTTTAACATCAGTGCGGTGTGTGTCAGTTTTCAGGACTGCAGTTGTACCTGCCGCTGCCGATAGAAGGGAACGCCACAGACTTGAGCTTCTTCTCATCCGCGAGTGCCAGGCAGTTCTTCACAGTCTTATCCAGCATCTCCTCACACTTATCCGAGCCCCAGCCGGGACTGTTACAGTGGATGACAAACTTAGCAGGAAGACCGAATCCTGAGGTCAAGGCCGCTGAGGAGAGCCAAGATCATCAGATCAACTGATCAGTCACTGCAATCTATACAGTTACATCATGCTCTGGATAAAAGAGGGAATTCATCAAAACAGCTCTTCATAGCTGTGACAACTGAAATCCATCAAATGCATCCTTCCTTCCAGATGATTTCAGAAGGTGGAAACTGAACATGAATGTGTTTATCAAAGTTTATGGTTATGGTTTCTCTACAGCATCTGTGGCATATATGGATGACCTTGTAATTTATCCATTAACCTATTTATTTATTTTGTTGTGGGAATATCTTCTACATGTGAGCCTGTTTGTTTTCTCTATATGTGTTGTTCAGCAGAGTTCAGTGTAAACCACAGTACCTCCTGCCACCTCCAGAGGGCCATTCTTCTTGCGCAGCTCCACAACCGCATCTCCAAACTCCTTTCCTCCGGTCTTCTCCAGAGCATTCCCTGCGAGAGACACGCCAATGTGAGTCTCTGACCGGCACTCGTTTACGGCGGCGGTGTGAGTCTCTGACCCGCACTCGTTTACGGCGGCGGTGAGAGTCTCTGACCCGCACTCGTTTACAGCGGCGGTGAGAGTCTTTGACCCGCACTCGTTTACAGCGGCGGCGTGAGTCTCTGACCGGCACTCGTTTACAGCGGCGGTGTGAGTCTCTGACCGGCACTCGTTTACAGCGGCGGTGTGAGTCTCTGACCGGCACTCGTTTACAGCGGCGGTGTGAGTCTCTGACCGGCACTCGTTTACAGCGGCGGCGCGAGTCTCTGACCGGCACTCGTTTACAGCGGCGGTGTGAGTCTCTGACCGGCACTCGTTTACAGCGGCGGTGTGAGTCTCTGACCGGCACTCGTTTACAGCGGTGGTGTGAGTCTCTGACCGGCACTCGTTTACAGCGGCGGTGTGAGTCTCTGACCGGCACTCGTTTACAGCGGCGGCGCGAGTCTCTGACCGGCACTCGTTTACAGCGGCGGTGTGAGTCTCTGACCGGCACTCGTTTACAGCGGCGGTGTGAGTCTCTGACCGGCACTCGTTTACAGCGGCGGTGTGAGTCTCTGACCGGCACTCGTTTACAGCGGCGGTGTGAGTCTCTGACCGGCACTCGTTTACAGCGGCGGCGTGAGTCTCTGACCCGCACTCGTTTACGGCGGCGGTGAGAGTCTCTGACCCGCACTCGTTTACGGCGGCGGTGAGAGTCTTTGACCCGCACTCGTTTACAGCGGCGGCGTGAGTCTCTGACCGGCACTCGTTTACAGCGGCGGTGTGAGTCTCTGACCGGCACTCGTTTACAGCGGCGGTGTGAGTCTCTGACCGGCACTCGTTTACAGCGGCGGTGAGAGTCTCTGACCCGCACTCGTTTACGGCGGCGGCGTGAGTCTCTGACCCGCACTCGTTTACGGCGGCGGCGTGAGTCTCTGACCCGCACTCGTTTACGGCGGCGGTGTGAGTCTCTGACCCGCACTCGTTTACGGCGGCGGTGAGAGTCTCTGACCCGCACTCGTTTACAGCGGCGGTGAGAGTCTTTGACCCGCACTCGTTTACAGCGGCGGCGTGAGTCTCTGACCGGCACTCGTTTACGGCGGCGGTGTGAGTCTCTGACCGGCACTCGTTTACAGCGGCGGTGAGAGTCTCTGACCCGCACTCGTTTACAGCGGCGGTGAGAGTCTCTGACCGGCACTCGTTTACAGCGGCGGTGAGAGTCTTTGACCCGCACTCGTTTACAGCGGCGGCGTGAGTCTCTGACCGGCACTCGTTTACGGCGGCGGTGAGAGTCTCTGACCGGCACTCGTTTACAGCGGCGGTGAGAGTCTCTGACCCGCACTCGTTTACAGCGCGCGGTGAGAGTCTCTGACCGGCACTCGTTTACAGCGGCGGTGAGAGTCTTTGACCCGCACTCGTTTACAGCGGCGGCGTGAGTCTCTGACCGGCACTCGTTTACAGCGGCGGTGAGAGTCTCTGACCCGCACTCGTTTACGGCGGCGGTGAGAGTCTCTGACCGGCACTCGTTTACGGCGGCGGTGAGAGTCTCTGACCCGCACTCGTTTACAGCGGCGGTGAGAGTCTCTGACCGGCACTCGTTTACAGCGGCGGTGAGAGTCTTTGACCCGCACTCGTTTACGGCGGCGGTGAGAGTCTCTGACCCGCACTCGTTTACGGCGGCGGTGAGAGTCTCTGACCCGCACTCGTTTACAGCGGCGGTGAGAGTCTTTGACCCGCACTCGTTTACGGCGGCGGTGAGAGTCTCTGACCCGCACTCGTTTACGGCGGCGGTGTGAGTCTTTGACCCGCACTCGTTTACAGCGGCGGCGAGAGTCTTTGACCCGCACTCGTTTACGGCGGCGGTGAGAGTCTTTGACCCGCACTCGTTTACAGCGGCGGTGTGAGTCTCTGACCCGCACTCGTTTACGGCGGTGGTGTGAGTCTCTGACCCGCACTCGTTTACGGCGGCGGTGAGAGTCTCTGACCCGCACTCGTTTACAGCGGCGGTGAGAGTCTCTGACCCACACTCGTTTACGGCGGCGGCGCGAGCCTCTGACCGGCACTCGTTTACGGCGGTGGTGCGAGCCTCTGACCCGCACTTGTTTACGGCGGTGGTGCGAGTCTCTGACCCGCACTGATTTATGTGGAAAAGAGATGTTTTTCATACACAGATATGATGGTAGACCGACACTGTGTCGCTCCAAACAGAAGCGGTCGACTCGACTGTATATTCTGTAAGTCCTCTGAAGACTGTGATGCTTTATAACGAACAGACCGACATTTACGCTGTTATTCGCTGAGCTCTAAATCTCATTCACGCTTATGTTCCATTCAAAACATTCAAATGTACGATCAATGTTTTCAAATCCAATGATGCGACAGACCTGCTGTGACGTGCCTCGAGGAGCTTTAGTTGAGTTCATGCGAGTGTGTTTCAGGAAAAGGAGTTTCAGAACAACATCATATGGGGTTGGAAGGAGAAGCGTGTGAGTAAATGATGACAGAATCATGAACATGCTTCTTCTTCTAAACCCTTACCCAGCAAACGGTCTCTCGTGCATTACGAACAAACATTCTCTCAAGGTTACGAACAAACATTCTCTCAAGGTTACGAACAAACGTTCTCTCAAGGTTACGAACAAACATTCTCTCAAGGTTACAAACAAACTTTCTCTCAATGTTACAAACAAACTTTCTCTCAATGTTACAAACAAACTTTCTCTCAATGTTACAAACAAACGTTCTCTAAAGGTTACGAACAAACGTTCTCTCAATGTTACAAACAAACGTTCTCTCAATGTTACAAACAAACGTTCTCTAAAGGTTACGAACAAACGTTCTCTCAATGTTACAAACAAACTTTCTCTCAATGTTACAAACAAACTTTCTCTCAATGTTACAAACAAACGTTCTCTAAAGGTTACGAACAAACGTTCTCTCAATGTTACAAACAAACGTTCTCTAAAGGTTACGAACAAACGTTCTCTAAAGGTTACGAACAAACGTTCTCTAAAGGTTACGAACAAACGTTCTCTAAAGGTTACAAACAAAACGTTCTGTCAATGTTACAAACAAACATTCTCTCAAGGTTACGAACAAACGTTCTCTCAATGTAACAAACAAACATTCTCTCAATGTTACAAACAAACATTCTCTCAAGGTTACGAACAAACGTTCTCTCAATGTTACAAACAAACGTTCTCTCAAGGTTACAAACAAACATTCTCTAAAGGTTACAAACAAACGTTCTCTAAAGGTTACGAACAAACGTTCTCTAAAGGTTACAAACCAAACGTTCTGTCAATGTTACAAACAAACATTCTCTCAAGGTTACGAACAAACGTTCTCTCAATGTTACAAACAAACATTCTCTCAATGTTACAAACAAACATTCTCTCAAGGTTACGAACAAACGTTCTCTCAATGTTACAAACAAACGTTCTCTCAAGGTTACAAACAAACATTCTCTAAAGGTTACAAACAAACGTTCTCTCAAGGTTACGAATAAATGTTCTTCCCGTAACTAAGTTGGACTAAATAAAAAATAAACTGGATGTTTAGAACTTTCAGAAAACATCAGTAAAAAAGTTTTTGATAAAACATGATCATTAATATTAAAAATTGTGTTACAAATAAAACGGGATTGAGTTTTTTGGGGCACAGGAATCAGTGAAAACAAGAGAAAAAAGAGAATTCAAAGTTTAGACACAAAAAGCAAGATGACAGAACAAATGTACTGAACCACAGCCATGAAACTCCAGCACTAGATCCATTAAACCAGGCCGGATCCAAGCATGAACACAGCTTTAGACGCCTTCTGCATTCACTGTCACTGAGCAAATATTGTTATAAGAAGTGCTTTTGTCATCAGTGTGTGTGCGGTCAGTGTCGGCACTGCGGTTTGGACTGTAGATCTGCTGGAGACTCTTTACCTACTTCACCACCCATGTAGAAGGTGGAGTTGGTCGGGTGAACAACGGCTTCACTTTCGATGGTGGCAATGTCAGCTTGCACAACTTGCAGCTAAAACAACAGGCAAACAAATACAGTGAGAGACAAATGCTGTGGAAAGGTGGTGAGACCATGACGAGGACACAGACACCGCTGGGAATACAGAAGAGTAAAGAAAACAGGGAGACACTGCCATCTACTGAGGAGCTGGAGGGAGACGAGCACACACACACACACAGAGAAACACACACGCGATGCGGCTCGCAGGAAACACACACACGCGATGCGGCTCGCAGGAAACACACACATACACGAGATACAGGTCGCAGGAAACATGCATGAAGAGAAACCTTGAAGGATGATGACACTGTTTTCTCCAGAGCCGCTTTCAGCCGATTCAGCCGTTTCATTATTCATGAATACAATACATTTTAGCAACATTGACACTACAATTAATAAATAATAGGAAATAAATACACAAATAACCTTCTCAAGCTCCTTGCCAGAAAAAAAAACAAAAAAAAAAAACAATAAACTCAATTTTAGTTTCAATTAAGCTTAAAAAAAGCAAAAACATCCACTCTTTTAGATGCTGTAGACAGGCCAACAGAGATGTGACTGCAATTACCAGATTCTTTCTCAATAGTAAATAAATGTGGGTATCATCAGCATGACAAGGAAAGGATATCCCAAGCATACACAGGGAAAACAGAACAGGAGCCAACACAGACCCCTGGGGAACGCCACAGTCAGAATGGGCTGAATCAACACAGATGAGAACCCGCAAACAGAGAAACCAGTTTAAAGCACTTCCATCGACAGCTGGAAACTGCTGAAGGCATTAGTGGAAGGAGTCCTGCCGTCAGATCAGGGGCGAGTGAGTCTGGCCTCGTGATTGCACCCGCAGTCCGAGCGAGGCGATTCAACTACTAAATGTTTGCATTGCAGATTGGCACTGATTCGCCGTGTCTATTAAAGCTTTGACAGAATCCACTGGAACATTCAGATCTACGTTAGCGCTGCCGCTGACCACAGAAAGCCGCTATCATGTATAGATATGAATCAGCTTTTCAACCACACAGTATCGCTGATTTTTTGTTACAAATATTCCTATTATCACAGTACTGCGATAACAGTTTGTAGTTCAGATATACATCACTGATGTCTACAGAAGCGATTAAAATAGAGAAAATCACCCTTTGAAAGTAATTCGGCGTTTTAAATAACGATTATATCAATTACAACGTTAAACCAGTAGGTGGCGACACATGACTGTTAAAATGCTAAATTTGTCATTGAAAAATTGTCTTTTTAAAAATAATTCAGATTAAATATTTTAAATAGATTGCAGAAATTAGCAATTTTGTCAGAACCTTTAGTAAATTATTGAACTTTGTTTAGTTGTCTAAGTGTCAGTCGTTTTTTTTTTTTTTTTTTCATTAAATTTACGATTATCAACGTTAAAGTGTGTATATTACAAAAATGAAATGGCCTGAGCAGCTCTGGAGTGGAAATGCACATGCAATCGGCAGGAATGAACATCTCATTCAGTGTGTGTAACATGCAGCGCTTCTACTTTCTGGATTATTCATGCATTAAAGCAGATAAATCTGTAGCTCGTAGGGGAGTGAATCGGTTCAAGATTCAGAATGACTCATAATGTTTTGATTCTGTGTTTTTATGAATGTATTTTTAATTTAAGTCTTAATACGCACGTCAAAACAAATGATTCGTTTCAATTCAAATTTTAAGATTGATGTATGCGAGGAAACAAGTGAATCATTACTCCCCTTATAGCTATAGATGATTCATAAATCAGAAAGATGGATCTGGATATTAGCAGCAAGAACAACAGGAGGAGAAAAGCAACAAAGAGCATCTGAACATCACCATAGCAGTCACTGTCCGGTGGAGTTAAACTCCTGAACTAGAAGCTGAGCTGAGTTTGGACACCACTGAACAACGGTCAGAGAAGAGTTTCATAAAGGGTTTTGTACCTTCTGTCCGAGGAATAAACTTCTGGAAGAGAGGACAGTGACTCCATCAGCCGGTCCGCCGTCCGCATCAGCCGCCCGTCTCTGTCACAACAACAGCAAACTCCTGCTAAATCTACATCATCACACTGCATCGTTCTGCCTTAGAGGAGGAGTTCACTGCGGGATTTACATTTACGATCGGCCATTTTCGAAAACAAATAAAAACATATATACTTTAACCACTAATGCTGGTCTTACTCTAGCATTACGTCATCAGGGTGAAAGGTCAAGCGTGACGTAGGCGTAAGAACCGACCCAGTGTGTTTACAAAGAGAACGTGCAAAGACCGAGTCAAACGCCATAAATACGGGTTTTTAAAATGGAAATCAGGGATCTTCATAGGCCTGTTTAAATTTCTGATGTAAATTCGACACAAATAAATTCAGATGCATGCTTTCCAAAGTAAAATACTTTCAAATGGGTGAATTCAGCAAATAAATTCAGATAACTGTTTTTCAAAATAAAATATTTCAGTTATGTCTCTTATTTGCTTCCATAGATCTGGATCTGTTTCGGCCTAGTTTACACATAAAGAGGCACGTTTGCATGGGACTGAATGACAGTGCTGATTAGACGAGTCAGTGTGTAAGGATGGGCCAGTGTTCAGCGAGTACCTTCACCCGTGTGGACGTTTTGGTGGCCAGTTTCTTGACCACTGCTGTTTTGGGGGTCTTGGTCTTGATCTGGGTCGGCGGAGGAGTGACGACGGCCTCCATCTTTCCTTTGGAGCCGCTCTTCTTGGACAGCAGCTCTGGGTGGATGTTGGGTAAGACTCCGCCGGCCGCGACGGTCACGCCCTTCAGCAGCTGCACACACACATCCAGAAGCACATCCCACGGGTCAACACTCAATGACAATAACTGCTTTCTCAGTTTACGTTATATTACAGCATATGTTTTACCATGGAGTGTGAAACTGGCTTGTGTTTTTGCATGTTTGTCGTTGTCCGATCTGACCATTCAAGTGCCACTGGGACCAAAAGAAGCCGTCTAGTAGGGCTGTCAAACGATTAATCGCGATTAATCGCATCCAAAATTAAAGTTTGTGTTTACATAATATATGTGGGTGCACTGTGTATAACAATTTTGTATATATATATATATAAATACACACATGCATGTATATATTTAAGAAAAAAATATTATTAATGTATAAAATAATTATATATAATATAAATCTATATACAGTATATGCATGAAAATATTTCTGAAATATATACAAGCATGTGTGTGTATTTATATATATAAAATAATTATACATATATTATATTATTAAACTTTTATTTTGGATGCGATTAATCGCGATTAGAATAGATGGGTCTGTGATATGATGTACCTGATGAAGCTCCTCGTCGTTGGCGATGGCCAGTAAGATGTGTCTGGGCGTCACACGGCACTTCCTGTTGTCTCTGGCTGCATTTCCTGCCAGCTCCAGGATTTCAGCTGAAAGAACGACGCAGAAAGAGCTTTGGCATTGTATCTCCCACAATGCACTTTGATCCACAAGACCCAGAACGTTCTGTACAAGTCTTTGTGTAAATCTATATTTCCTGTCACTCTTGTGCTGTATATGACAGAGTGAACAGATCAATAGCACTTTTATTTAAAGGCTTAATTCATGTCCGGTACATTACATTACAGTGGCGAGCAGTGTCAATAACATCAGAAATGTGATGAGATCGTCATCAGACGGTGTGTGTCTGCGATCAAACGTCCTGGTGTGTGTGTCTGGGGTTTAAATGAGTGTTCTCACCAGAGTTTTGATGTGTTTTATCCACAAGTTTCCAGGGGGCGCTCCTGTAAAAAATAAAGTGGGTGAAACTTCCGGTGAGGCGGCAGGAGTAGCATTCCAATGGTATTTTGTGTGTTAGTTAGCGAAGAGGCTAGCTGTTTTTAGGAGAATTATTTTACTATTTAAAGGCGCAAATCTTATGAGAGATGTCGTTACGGAGCTCAGGGACAACATGTGCTGTTCGCGGTTGTATGTATAACCGGAATAAACGAATTCAGTGGCTTAAACGGGATTGTTTTGAACATAAGCTGAAAACTAAATCACAGTGATCCTGCCAGAGCCCGTCTCTGATCCTGCCAACGACTGTAGTTTCCATCACCTCCCAAAAGACGACGAATCTTCCTGTGTACATTTGTTTAAATTCTTAATATTCTATAAACTCTCTCAGCATGTGATTGGCTGTTCGCTACTGATGTCACACCTAAACTCAGGATCAAAGCCTGTGTTGACAGAATACCAAATGTGCCAGTTAATGTATTCAAGCAGCACATTCATTTAGAATTTTGAATAAACTCCAAAGCACAATGACTAAGTGTGTATTTTTTATTTTAATTGTTTGTCAGCTCGCACAACTGTCTGTCAACATGCCTTGATGAGTATTGATTATTAATAATATTATTATAATACTAATAACAGTAAAGGTACTGTTATTTCACCCTTTTTAATTTGGTTGAGGTTGTGTTCCCACATCGTTAGCTAGTTTGGATCGCTATAACTTGAATGACTGTCAACTGTTGAATGAACGAGTGTGTCAAATCGCGCTTTGTTTACTTCCAACCGGAAGTCGCGCCCACTTTTGACGCAAGGCCTCATGGGGCGTAGGAAACTTGTGGATACACTCAATATCGTTTCTTATTCAGATGTGGTAAACCTAAAACATCTTCCCCAATAATTTTCTATATGATAAAAACATTCTGGAAATACGACAAACACAATCTCCCACTGTCACAAAGACATGATCTAAAAACATTTCCTTTAAAGGGGAACCATCATGCTCCTTTTCACATGATGTAATATGTCTCAGTGTAAACAATGTTTATGTGCTAAAGTTTTGCGAAAACTATTAGTGTTCTCTAGTTTCTGGTGATGGGAATCACACCTATTCCCTAACCCTACAGAGAACACGGCCCATTGAGTCTCACTTTAGTCTCACTTGATGAAGTGCATTACAGGAGGAGGGACTGATGAGAATAAGAGACTCGTCCTACCGGTCAGGTATTCCAGCACCGCAGCCATGTACACTGGAGCGCCGACACCAACCCTGTATTTGGGAAGACCCCTCTTGATGAAGCGCAGCATCCGGCCGACGGGGAAGATCACTCCAGCCCTGGCGGAGCGCGACGACCTGCTGACCTTCTTCTTCCCAGCCCGGCTGGACATGATGCTGCACACACACACACACAGCAGTCGAGGCGTCTGTACTGTACTTCTACATACAGTAGAGATCGTTTTAAAACAAACAGGAAAATAACAGAATGAATGATGCAAACTATCAGAAAAATTCAAATTCTGCTGTAAAAAAGACAATAGTGTATAGTAATTATACTGAATATTAATTCAAGAATAAAACAAGCCTCCAAAGATCTTTTTGTGCAAAATAAAAATAAAAAGTAATGTGCTAACCTACTTATAATTAGTTAAAGGGATAATTTACCCAAAAATGTCATCATTTACAAAGGAAAATATTTTGATGAATTATTGGTAACCAAACAGTTGAAGGCACCCATTGACTTCCATAGTATGAAAAAAATACAATAGAAGCCAATGGTGATCCAAATGGTTACACAAATTCTTTAAAATATCTGTGTTCAGCAGAAATGAGATATTAATACTGTCTTGAGAAAACTTGAGAGTGAGTAAATAATAATATCATTTTCATTTTTGGGTGAACTGGCCCTTTAAGATTCGAACAAAAGCTGTCGCATATACATTTTATTCTGTATTGAAAAGCTGAATCTGAATAACAACAACTAAAGCGAGTTTGATACAATACAGCATTAACATTAAGATATTTGCATCGGGTTTCGCTTATAAACAGAACTGACAACACTGTAAATGAACGCGCTGTTTTGAGTTTATGTGATCAGATTAGAAATAGATTCACTGTGACTGTGTTTCCATCATAAATAATTCGGCGACACATTAAGGTCGAGCGATGTTTCGGTTTGTTCAATGATGACAGCTGGAACTTCCTGAGTCGCGCCCGCGGAACTGCGTCCGTCAGTGAGCGAGCAGCGCGCGACAGTCTCCTGCTGAAAGTGTGTTAAAGCAGCACATGCACTGATGACACTTGATGTCTTACAGTAGAGAGTGTGTCCGAGTTCAGTCCACTACTGTCTGCTACAGCGAGACCAGCTCAAACAGCGTCCGACACACACACAGCCGACCAGCAGAGAGCGCGCAGGAGACGACGAGCACGCGCCTGACCGATGCCCAGCCGCGCGCCTACACATGTCACATGACATCTGCTATAAAAGTGTTGGGTAAACCCAGAGCATACATGGCTCTGGGTAAACCGTTGATAAATAATATGCCTTACATTTCCATTTGAGACATGCGTTTCATTTGATGCTTTATAAAGCGGTCATTTGGTTTTGAGCAAATCTTCATTATCCATTGTTCAAAACTTTTAAGTCGAGATAAAAAACAATATAATCCAATTTCATGTAGCAGGATGGATGACCCCTCCTACTTGTTTGAGGTTTGGCCAATGGTCTGTCACCCCCTATGGAAGCATAATTCAATTTGAAATGTAATATGCAAAATGACAATGCAATGTGTAAAATGGCATTGCATTTTGTATTTAAATTTACATTACCATTCTAGCAACGTTTGGTTCAAAATGAAAATACATAATTTACATTTGCCATTTCATACACTAGTTTTAATATGCATACTGAAACGCTTTATAAGTGGCAAAATTAAAATGCCACTTTAAAGCGTTTCAGGTATGCATATTAAAACTAGTGTATGAAATGGCAAATGTAAATTATGTAATTTCATTTTCATTTTGCACCAAACGTTGCTAGAATGGTCATGTAAAATATAAATTTAAATACAAAATGCAATGCCATTTTACATATTGCATTGTCATTTTGCATATTACATTGTCATTTTGCATATTACATTTCAAATTGAATAATGCTACACATAAGCTTCCATAGTATGACCTGTTGCATATAAGAGCAGGGACTAAGAGCAGAGCCGTTCTAACCATAGTGAAACTCATAGATTGTGTAACCTATTGACTCCCATTCATTCTGCACTCGCCTGCAGCGCCCCCGCATGGACAGAGAGTGTTACTGCAGCAAGTCCAGAAACCGGAAAAAAACATTCTCTGAAATTCTGCAGCCTCCCCATATAGGGAAATTCTCTGCTCATACTTTTTTGTTTTTACCAAGCAGCGGAAGCGTTCACGACAAGACCGGTACAAACAAAAGTTTTTTAAGGTATGTGGTAATATTTGTTCAGAATTTATATATTCTTATAATTTAAGTTTCGAAATATATTTGATCTATTTTAACAAAAGAGCGGGCTAGACCATTTGCAACTTTTAATGTTTCTGGCTTCCGGGTGACCACCATCAAGTGGGACGATTATAAGTTTGTGTGGGACATAGATAGTCTGAAACTGTGATATAATGTTTATCTAACTTAATAAAACATTTATATTCTGCCTTTCAGCTGATACATTTTAAAAAAGAAATAGAATAACATCACAATGTAAAATAACATGTCTCACATGTCCTTTATTCTACATGACATTTAAATTCAACATCACTGAGCCCAAAGGAATCATGCAGATCACTATCTCTGAAACAGCTCCAACTAAAATCCAACAAAAATACTCTGACCAAGTAAAATCCAACAAAATAAATAATTATTAAAATAAAATAAAATATAAACCAACATGAATTTAGATCATTGACAGTCTTATATATTAAGAATATATTAGACCAAAAATTTGCATATTGTTTAGAAAGGATGTGAACTAAATGTGAGATATAAACTCGCAATTATGTGTTATAAAATCAGAATCGCGAGATGTAAACTAGCAATTGTGAGAAAAAAAGTCAGAATTGTAAGATAAAAAGTCGCATTTATTTATTTATTTATTTATTTTATTCAGTGGCGGAAACATGCTTATGTATGTGCTCAGATTATTTCTATAGATTAAATAATAGTTTAAAACAATAGGCCAACATGGTTTGTAGTATCCAGGGCCTGGTTTTTCAAAAGTAATCCACTAGGATTTTGGATAACGGATTTGATGAAATCTTGAAAATGTGTTTTTCAATAGAAAAAACGTATTACATAATCGGATTAGAATGATTACGTAATCCAATCTTGGAGAGAAAATAATTATTTTCTAATCCCGTTTGAATTGTGCAATTATGTAACATATGTTGTCTGTGAATTTTTTATATAATGTTTCGTGTAAAGAATGCTACAATTTAGCGGGTAGAATTTTCATACGGTTAGACTTTGTGTGAGAACACTTTGTGGGCTACAACTCTATCGACGTGTTTGATATACATCACCCCCACGAGCACACGAATCCCGCTAAACATGCCTGTGTCTTTGGTGCACTTCACCGCCTTCTTTCAGAGAGGACAAACTAGTTGAGGTGGTGAAAACCACTTCAGGTCTGGGCATGTGGAAGGGTTGAGGTATGCAAGTGGGGAGATGGCCGTATGCCACGTGTAGTCTCGTTATGTCTATTCCACAACTGCTAGCCAAAGAATCATACAATATACTGTCAAACTCGTTACATGAGAAATTATATAAAAAATTCAGACAACATATGTTACATTCATGGCACAATTCAAACGAGATCAGAAAATAGTTATTTTCTCTCATTCACTTGCATTGACGCTTTTTCAACCTAGAGGTCCACTGGGAGTTTTACGGATGGGCGGGACTTACCAGCTCTATTGGCCTACAGCAAAGTAGAAAGAGTGTGGCCTCATAAAATAATCCCCCAAACAGCTGTCAAAATTGACCAAAAACAACTAATTTTATTCTGTCACTAATTGATATATATATTGATCACAATCAAAAATATTTTTGTTTTTAGAATATTTATTAGTGATGCATGCAATGATTACAGAATAACCAAAAAAAATGCAAATAATGGCAATCACTGATTTTTTAAATCCAAAACAAATCCAAATCCGAATTAAAGCTGCAAGCAGCCTTTGCGGGGCCAAGCCCTGGAAGGGACCACAAGCACAACAAGTACAGCAAGCACATGTCCTTTCTCAGACAGACACCATGTCTAGAACTGAAACGACTTTTCCACCACTTAAGGCCACAGTACCTCTCGCGGTCTGGGCATGTGCCACACAGGATTCGAACCCACGACCGCAATGGTTCGGGATTCGTGACACGTGGTTTAGCCGCTTGCGCCACTCATAGGATGGAAGTTACAAAGCTGCAGAGGACAGGCTTCAGTATAAAAATAAGCACACAAAATCATGTTAACGTGATTAACATGCTAAGCTAGCTCAATGCTAATATACCTTATAGTTATCCTGTTAGCTGAAGAGCCCCATTCAAAAGAATGGCACCTGGCTAGCATGCTAAACAATTATTATGCTTAGCTAACTAGCATAAGGCAACAAATACAGGCTAGGTCAACTTTGGAGACAAGTATCTCGAAAACGGTAGTGAATATCAAAAATCTGTTCAGTCATTTCTGTGCGGCTCGGTCCAAAGATCATCTGAACAAATTTTGGACAAATTTGAGCAAGATTTGAAGGAGGAGTAGCAAAAAAATGTTTTTTCATTTGCTCCAATATGGCGGACAGTCACATTGTTGGAAAATGAAAAATGAGACATCGTTGGAATCGGTATAAGCCAAGGAACGTATTGATATAAAGGAATCAAACTTTGAACTATATTTGCAAACGTTACAAGCGTTTTTACAAAAAGCCTTATAAATTTGGAACACTAGGTGACGCTGTCATCAAATTTCTCATGTACCTTCGGGCCATGCGAATGATGATCCATACCAAATTTGGTGAAGAAATGTTAAAAAGTTTTAAAGATATAGCAAATTATGACAAAATTCAAAATGGCGGACACAAGGTACATCCCATCATGGCAAAATTGATATCCACGGATTCGGCATGAGCCAAGGAATCCATAGGTACCACATTTATGATTTTCTGAAAAACGGTTCAAAAGTTATTGGCCAAAATAGCAATTTTGCATATCGTATGACCCATAGGTGGTGCTATTCCCAACTTTGGTATGACACCTCAGAACATGCTCCCGATAAAGTGTATCGATTTTTGTTTCGATTGATCAAACTTTGGCCGAGATAAAGCAAAAGTAAGCTGGATTTCGTGATCACAGATCGCAAAAAAAAAAAAAGGATTAC